TTTGTTTTGTTTTGTTTTGTTTTGGAGAGAGAGGAGAGGAGAGGGGCAGAGGGAGAGAGAGAGAGAGAAAGAGAGAGAGAATCCCAAGGCAGCTCCACATTCAGCACAGACTCTGATGTGGGGCTCGATCTCACAACTGTGAGATCATGACCTGAGCTGAAACCAAGAGTAAGACACTTAACCAACTGAGCCACTGAGGCTCAGAAAACTTTGTCTTTGGAAAGACATGTACGTAAGTCAGTTTTTAGGAAGGACTATTGGATCTTCTGGCTCAAGGGTCTTCATTGGATATTTTAATGTTAAATAGATGAAGAAAGAGATCTATTTGCCACATTGAGTGAGTCTCAGTTTCCTCTACAGACACCTAAATACTGAAGATATCCTTATTTGATGGTCAAGAGGAAATAAGACCTCTGTCCTACACTGAACATTTAAATAAAAGAAGCAGGTCTTTATTGAGATTCTTTTGAAGGTGTCCCCATCACAGAGTCCTGGTCAAAATGCTAAGCTTGCCTAAGGTTTTAGTATCACCTTTGATCCATGGACTGTGGGAGTCTAAAAATGAAGAGTCCATCAGCTTACCAACTACCTTGTATCATCTAATTGATAAGTCATTAGTTAACCAGGAATAATTTAGGGAAAGTCTATTTTCTACTACCACGATCAGAACCAGTATACTTATTTAAATTCTTAAAACTCCACTTTGTTTTTTCTATTGGCAACATATATCCACATAAAACCTATTCTGATGTGGTCATGCCTCATCAGAATGCCAATCCAAATTTAAGTGTGTAATTCAGAGTTTCTTTTGTGTTAAAAACAAAGCGATTTGTTTTCTAGCTCTTGAAACTTCTGTGTGTCTAGACAAGGAACTCTCTTATTTTACATAGGAAGGAAGAAGAGTTTGTGTTTCATTTTCTATCCTACAATGAGCATTAATCATTTAGATAAAAATCTCTTTGGGAGGAAAATAAATCCTCGTTGATATGGCCAACCCTTTTATTGTTGAATTATGTATTTTCTTTTTATAAGATCAATGAACTTCTCCATGGGTTGTTTCCATTTGGGGAATGAAATGATGGGGCTTTAGAATCTCCACTCTGTGGTCTCTGATTGTTGGAGTTTGTGGACTGCAGGCACTCGGAGGATTTAACTCAGAGGGGATCCTGATAAAGGGTTCTACTGCCACTTGAGAAAAGTAGGCAGGACATTTCTCCTTGGGCTCTCATGTAAGCAGGAAAGAGCTAAAAGTGATAGAAAACAGATTTTCTGATCACTCTGGTCCTACAGGGGTCCCAGAGGCTGGCCCTCTTTTATCCCAGAGTTTTCTGCTTCTCTTTCATCTTAGCAGAATATGCTCATATCATTGGTGAGTTCCAGCCAGAGAAAAAGCTGCATAATTTGCTCCTTTTCTTGCTGCAGCTCAAAGTCTAGGACTCAAGGAACAATGTGAAGCAACGATTAAATCAGGTCTGAATGTTTGAAAGAAGTACAAAAGAAAAGGTTTAATATGGTTTCAACATTGTCTTCTGTAAATTAGGGATGCTGTTGAGGTATATTTTTCAACACTGTGTCCTTTAGCATCAAGCCCTCTCATTGTTGCCATTGGGTATGGACAATATAGGAGGGGACAACAGAAATGACAAGGAAGGAAAGGATCAATGGAAAGAAGTTGCTACAGTCTAGTCTGATTCCTTATAGTTCTGCTTCTATTTATACTGAGCCAAAATATCCTCAATGGCATTGAGCTAACATCTTTCCCCCCACTCCCATTCTCTTCCACAGCCTAGCAAATGTTTTCCCTATTAGATACACTTTAAGGTTACTACCAAATTAACCACAAAGGCCATGGCATTAACAGGAGCTAGAAAATTCACAGGAGCCCCAAATAAGCCACCAAAAACTATTGTGTAGGCAATTGTAAGGTTATTGTTTGGCCTTGGTGAAGTGATAGTGGGTTTTCCATGATAGACTTGGGAGCAAAGAGTTTCTCTCTGTCCCTTTGACTATGACTATTAATCTTGATGAACATGAATTTCCACAGCTAAGTCACTACTGGTACAAGTAAAAGCTGAAGTGCAGTATTTACGAATGGAGCTGCCCACCCTCATTCTCTTGCTCACTCTCTTACACACACACACACACACACACACACACACACACACACACACACACCTCATTCATTCTTCAGTAGCATATCATACCAGTGGCTTATGTAGCACAGAGATGCATTGTCTCTTTATCCCTTGCAATCTACAGTGGATTTCTGGTCAACCTAGTTCATGTACTTCTTTTCACTGCAACTCGAGTAGCTAAGAACTCTGACACCTTTGAATCTTATGGGTCTTGTTTTTGAAATGAAACAAAACACTGTCATGGCTTGGGAATTGCAGAAATGTCACTTACTAACTCTAGGCCTGGATTTTTTTTTTAATTTAAATTAATACCTGTGTAAGGGAGGAGGCAAATAGCAATGGTTTGGCTTTTTGTGCTTCTGCCTCCTTTCAGCATTGGACTAAGCAAAGTCCATGCTGTCTCCCCTCCCACTTCCCCACCTTAGTGAAAACCTAGGAGTTGTCATTTCCTTTGTAAAAGAACTGTTTTTCAGTGTTTGCTCTTTGTTCAGTCTGCGTAGTTGGTAAATGCAAGTGTAGATAACTCTTAATGCTTGTCTGGAGGTTTTTCCGCCTATTTGTGATTTGGGAGATGACCAAGGGCATGTTTGACTTGTAATAGAGATGAAGAATGGATAAATCCAGTGCATGTAATATGATTGGAGAGTCCCATAGACTGACCCACTGTGCATTCCCATAATGCCTGTTGAACAACCAAGCATTGCCCTTGCAGAAGTACAACTATACTAACTGGTATTGCCTACAGTGATTTCCAAAATGGTGGTACTCAGAAATCCGACATCCTGCACTTCTCAAGGGGGCCCTCTCCTGGCCCGGAGGTCCATGTTGCTTCCCATCCAGGGAAGGTATTTTGCTTCTCCCCATCCTTCCTCCCCTTTCCCTCCCCTCACTTTCTTTATATTCCTGGCCTGAGTGTTACCATTTGCTTACTGATAAGAGTATACTATGAATTTTCATTTACAGCTTTGAGATACTTATGAGGCTTTCCTGCTTCCCACTCAGCCCCAAACTTGGGACTTTTCACACACTGATCCTCTGATCAGTTTGATGCGGGAAAGCACATGGAAGCCATGTACCAGTTTGTATAGTAGTACTGTTTTAAACTGTGTACTCTTGAACAAAGTAGAGTGTGCTGGGGGTTCGCATTGGCTGCTTGACACACACAAAGCCAATTAACTTGCATGCCAAAAAAAAAAAAAAAAAAAAAAAAAAAGAAAAGAAAAGAAATTAACCCTTAGAGTACTGCTTCAACATTTTGGTTTAAGGGTCTTGAACTTTACCGGTTAGGCAATGCTTCTTTCTCCAGATCCGAGTGCTGCACGTAAAGTCCATACTTAGTCTAGCCAGAACATCAACCAGGATCCTCTCTTCCACAGCTTTCCTGAGATGCTCCTGGGTCCTTTATTATTAATCAACTGATGGCATTAAAGAGGTCTAAAACATAGCCACTGTGTTTCACTGAAAATGGGCTCCACTTCCAGTGTGCTTGAGGGTGTGAGGGACTATTTTTAGCTTTGGTACGTGTCCTCTTAAAGAAAGAAGTCAGTTCTTTAAGGGTTAATATGAAATTAAGGAATTTGATGGTCTCTCTTGCTTGTCCTTCCTCCAAGGTGTCTGCATGATCCTTTTTAGATTCTTAGCTCACCTGTTGAATGATGGTAAAAAGTAATATATATATATATATATATAATTGCAAAAACAAAAGAACAAAAGACTGAATGGTTGAATGAAAAGACCCCTTGGCAATGCTTGCTTGATTATCACAGAGGGTAGAAAGACCAAATGTTTTAGTTAACGAATATTCATTTTGTCCTCTACCCCGAGCACCACTGCTACACAGTATTGTGGAAGACTTGATGATGCTTTTCATTTACCTCTTGCTTTTTCTTCTTCCTGTCTAATAGCCCAATAGAATCCTGCCAGAATTTCTACAAAGATTTCACATTACAGATCGACATGGCTTTCAACGTGTTCTTCCTTCTCTACTTTGGCTTGAGGGTAAGTCTGATCAGTGCCACCCAGTATCATAATGGGGCATCTTGGACCCAGGGACCATCCTTCACCAGCATCTGTTCTCGCAGAGATGAAGCCCAGTGTTTCCAGGGGAGACAACAGACCTGCGCTGTGATTTTCAGTCTCTGACAAAGACCTTTCCTCAACTCAGCATTTTCTGAAGTGCATGTTAAAATCTTGTTCCAAGGAGGAGAAACAGGGATTGAAATAACTATTTTGCCTTTGCTGGCCTACTGTTTCTCATCTCTCTAAATACGAATGCATTGTTGCCTTTAATAGGAACAAAAAACTTCTCTTAAAATTATGTTTATCAGGGTTCGCTTAACTGAATCCTAAGAGAACAGGTGTGAGGACTGAATCAAGGGGGTAGATTGGCCGAATTTGGGACTTGGGCATTTATACTGGAGCCTGTTTACGGCGATGGCGGGGGTGGGGGTGGCTGCATAGAGTGTGTATCACAGAGATTGTGTGTGCATGTGTGTGCACACGTGCATGTGTGAGTAGATGCATACGTATATGCCTTATTTACAGTTATATTTACGTTGGAGTCTAACGAAGATGAGACCACTCAAACTTTCCGATAACACTATTGAAAACCATAGGAAAATAGATTGCTGGGTATTTCTCCAAGGTTAACATAATATACAGTCACTCTCCAGAAAAGGCTGTATATCCAAATTCTAAGATAGAAACAGCCTGTGATTGGTATAGATATGAGAAGGACATAACATCTCCCTCCAAGCCCCCATGAAAAACCAAAACATAGCCTTTGGCAAAAGAACATAGTTAGAATGCCAGCATCATGCTTCTCATTTTTTTGTCTCCTTTTCTCTTTCCCCAGTTTATTGCAGCCAACGATAAGCTGTGGTTCTGGCTGGAAGTGAACTCTGTGGTAGATTTCTTCACGGTTCCCCCAGTGTTTGTGTCTGTGTACTTAAACAGAAGTTGGCTTGGTAAGTCAGTCTCTCCTCCTTTCTTCTTACTGGTTCCCGAACTGTGGTGGATCAGAGGCCTGGGCTGTCCCCACGGAAAGAAAGTTTTGTGTGAATGTGCACAACTCTTGGAGTTTGGGGGGTTAGTGAGGATAGTTCTCTTCAGAGCACTAGCCCAGGAGGATTCGCGCAGTGAGTGCTTCAGGTAAGGCAGTTTTCTCATTGTTGAAGCCTACGGGTCACACTGTCACAGCCAGGACCTCTGCCTTCATGCTTCTGTCATTTTCATTCAGCCTGCAGTTAGAACTGGACAAAGAAGAGCCTGGTACGAGGCCAACTTTCCAAGTAACTGATTCAGGTGCCCCAGAAGGCCTGCCTGCCGAAGTTAGCTTCTGTCTGCTTCTCGGTTTTATAATGAGTGGTTCCTGCCTGGTTTATCTAGAGCTAAGAGTTCCTCTGTGGGACAGCGTACAGGAAGGCATCTCGAGCCACTGTCTCCTTGAAGGAGGTGGAGCTCCCCTCCCGTGCTAAAGGAGGGGCTGTTGCTGGTGCTGTGTTCACATCTTACTTCCCGTATCTGCTCAACATGTCCCTTCCTGTCTGTCCCTGGCAGGTGACTTCCTGCATTACGAGCAAGACAGTTTGGCAGGAGAAGTAGTTAGCTCGAGGATGGTCATGGCAGCCAGAGGCATAGAGAGACAGCTTTGAGCTTCTCTTTGTTGCACTGAATAATTCTCTCAGAATGTTCCTGCTGCTGTAGGTCTACTGGGGGAAAGGGAGGCTGAAACAGGATTCAGAGGACTACTTGTGCGTCCAATCTGTATTTTTAGAAATTTTTGGTGTTACCTCAATTTTTTTTCAAAGTAATAGAAATAAAACCTTGGATTGCAAGTAACCTGTTCTGCAAGTGTTCCGCAAGACAAGCAAACATTTCTAAGAAATTTTAACTTGATAAACGAGCGATGCCTTGCAATATGAGTCGTATGTGAGGCTGAATGTCGCACGATCACAACTGAACCAACGGTTCTTGAAATTTGCTTTGATATACAAATGCTTTGGATTACAAGTGTGTTTCTGGAATGAATTATGCTCGCAAACCAAGGTTTTATGTATATTACATTCAGTATAAACATTTAAAGATGTATAAAGGAAATATCAATCATGTCTTCCCCGTTCTCACTGCCTTCTCCCTGGGATGCTCAGTGTTCATATACTTCCATATCTTTCCTTCATGCCCCATTGCTACAAACATGGATGTGTACATATATATGTTGTAGAGGAGGTGGTCTTTGTACAAATACGTGTGTCCATGACATTGCACTGGAATTTGGTTTTCTCACTAGCAAATAAATGATGGACATCCCTTCAGCTCTGTAATAATTCATTTTATTAGAGTTACACAGAATTCTACAAATTGTTGTATTGCAGTTCATTTGGACACAGCCCTAATGATGGACCACCTGATTATTTTCTTTTTGCACTGTAAACAATGTTTTAATAAACACCCTCATCCACACATCTGTGCAATTTTATTTCTCTAGATGGTTCTAGGTTCCTGGAAGAGTAATTGCTGAATCAAAGCATGCATATATTTTAGTTTGTACAGAAATTGATGGTTCACTTTTCAGAAATGTTGTGTCAAGATATGCTTCCACTAGCAGTATGTTTTTGATGTCCTTGCTAGCATTGTGAATTTATTACATGCCTCATCTCAAGTATTTAAAAAAAGAAGCACCCTTTGTATATGATGTATGCAATAATCACATACACACATATCTGTGTGTATCTATGTGTGTATATCCCATAAGGATTCTATTTTGGACGGATTTTCACATTAGAATTGTATTCATTCACTCAATGGAAAAGTCATCATCCTTGATTTGAAACCTGCTTGCTTAGATTGGGTTTTCCAGCCAGCTTGATGAAACCATCAGAGCCACTCACAAATCTGAGAAGTAACCTGAATATGCTCTGGTACTGAGGGTCCCAGCTACCTCAGCTTGACTGTTAACTGGCTTTGTGACCTGGGGAGCTCACTTTTCTTTCACTCAGCCTGTTGTTTATAATCTGTAAAATAAAGGTTAGGTTAGATGATTTCTCAGGTACTTTCAGCTCAGAATGTCTCTAGGATTCTTGCATTGTTCATGAGAAATTTGGCATCTAGGTTGTTGGGAAGGACTGGGAAATTGGTGAAATCAAACCATCAACATTCCTGAGTCAAAATTACATATGGGTTGCTAACCATGGTTCATCCTAGACCATCCTGTTGCAAAGAGTATACACACGCATGTGTGCACACACGCACACGCATGTACCCATGTACCCGTGAGCGTGCACAGACCCTGAAAAACTCCAGACAGACAGAGAAAGAAGGAAGGGGAAGAGGAAAGAAGAGAGGAAGGAAGAGAGAAGGAGGGAGAGAGGGAGGGAGGGAGGAGGGAAAGGAATCTGCCTTCTCTTCCTGCCTTCTCTTCTCTTCTCTTCTCTTCTCTTCTCTTCTCTTCTCTTCTCTTCTAATTACTCTGTACACTGGAACAACCACTTTGCTTCTGGACCCTCAGTTTTCCCTTCTGAAAAATGGGAGGTTTGGACTTAAATTATCATCTAGTCCCCACACTTCATGAGTTGGAATTTTATGTCAAGTTCCATTCTCTCTTGGTCCCTTGTGGTCCTAGGTGACTGAGGATAGTCCTTCATGACTGGTGGAGACACCCTCCTGTGCAGCGAGCAGATCTCACCCCAGGGTAAGGGTATAGAGCCAAGTCTCCTTGTGAGACTAAAAGCATCTTTGTGTCAGGAGAACTTGGATATTTTAAAAATTCATGCCTTCTTGGGAATGATTTAATCCTGATTTTTGGCTTGGTGTTCTCATCTAGTGAAAAATCCACCAGAGTGAACAGGAAAAGGGGAAGAAAAAGAAAAAAGAAGAGAAATGAGATATACTTTTGCATCTGCTATGGTTTCTCTTCAAAAATTAAACCTTTAAAATATGCTTCAATCGAACAGTATTTATTAATACCTACTATGTGCCAGGCACTTTTCCAGATGATTTGGAAACAACAGTGAATAAAATAGCATCCTACCCCATAATGTTGCAGTGAGGGAAGAACAGGAAAAAAATGAGCCCAGTAAATAGGCAATTTATACAGTGCGTTAGGAAGCATAAGTGTATTGAAACTGAAAACAGACCAACAAACTTTTGGGCTATAAAATCATAATAAAAATACCAACAACAAATAACCTTTCCCCCCTTGTAGGAGAAGGCATCCTTAATGAAATGCTTGTGGTTCTCAGCCCCTTGGGTGAGCTCCACCACTGGTCTTCCTGTTATGGAAGAGAATTCAGTAGAATAATATTTCAAGGAGGTTTCCGTGTCTGATTTAATACATGGGTTATTACATCGTGAAACAGTTATTGTGCTGATGAGCTGCCAAATATAAAATGAACATTCTCATGAGATATGGCTTAGACAGTAGAAGGAATAATCCCATTAAATGGGGGGCATTTCAGGAAGTGTTACCCTCCTCCTGGAAAATGAAAGGGTGCTGCCTTTACTGGTTGAGGTTTGGCATAAGCTGGGGAAAAGTGCAGTCTGTTCTATTTCTCCTGCACACACCTGCTGAGCTCTATGACACAGGGGGCTGCGCTATAGCTGGAGTCATGTGGGTGCAAAACAGAACAAGGGCTATGACCCCCATCCTTACCTTTGCCAGAGCAAAATGCACACCACATTTGACTTCTTATCATAATGTATGGTTGCATATTATATAGTATTGTATTGGTTTACTTTATGTATGTATTATCTTAGTGCATTTGATGGTGTATTGATAATAACAGCTAATTCCAGTTCTACCATGTGCTGGGAACTCTGATCAGCCCCTTACATATATGAACTCACTTCTCAGAAAAGTCCTGTGAGCTGGGAGTTACTTTCCCCATTTTGCAGATAAGGAAACAGATTCAGCGACGATAGCTCTTGTCCCAGGTGGCGTAGCCTTGGAAGAGGTGGAAGGGGTGATTTGCCCCAGATTTGATCTGATTTTATGTCTGTATTCATGCTGTTCTTCTGCCTCTGTCCTTAGCCTTGAAAGATTGGGGGTTTTGAGGACTGCGTTGGGGTGAGTGAGCTGATTTGGCTAATTTCTGTTGGCACTTCTCCATCTCTCCTTACTGAGAGAGATTCACTTCGGGCAGGCAGGGAGGGGAAGAGCTCTTATTTAAGAACACACGTCCTCATGACTCCTCATCCCCATCCCACTCGTCCTTGCCCACCTTCAGTTTCTAGAGTTGTCACTAGGACCTGGGGAACACATAGAGCTTGTCTGGTGTCTCCCGAGTCCCAAGGTACCTTAGCACCTTGGGGATCAGATCTGTTCCACCTGAGAGAGAGGGAGAGACTAGAGGCTTCCACACATGCTGTCAATAGAGCAGAGTGGGTCAGAGCCAAGCTCTGGGCTACCACCTCAATTCACATCTTGGCTTGGCCAATGGGTCACCTTAAGCAAGGTTGTTTTACCTGTCTTAAACTCAGTTTTCCACCTGTCCAATGAATGGGCAGTACTCACCTCACAGGGCTGCAGAGGGGATTTTGTGAGGCAGTTTAAGTAAAATACTATGTACCTAGGACGGGGTTCACGATGATCCCAGGCTTCTCTTTCTAACCTACCTATCATATTTTAAAGCACCAAGAAAGAAAACAAACCAGAATGGAACCAAAAATAAGGCAGCGGGATGTGAGGACATCCACGTTGGCAGGCGGCAAGTCTCTGCTTATTTTAATTCCTGTTCCCACACACACCAGCTTATTCATTTTTGTTTCTCTCACCAAATCCTTATCCTACCTCACTAAAATAAATGTACCTTGAAATGAGAGATGTATTTTATTTTGAGACTAGAATAACATGCTGAGGAGAGCTCTTCTGTCTGTCTCATTTTTGGGGGAACTGTATCCCCAAGGTAGGTCAACAGACTGTGCCTCCTCTGTGTATTTATTTATGTGGTTTCATTGAGGGTCATTTTGT